GCCCCGGTGCTCCCATGGAGGGTCGAGGCAGCTGTTTTCGGGCCCCGGGCCTGTATAAACACAAAGAAGAAGAAGAGAGCAGGCAGCTTGTCACGGAATCGTTTTGGAGCGATCTGTGCGTGCACTGGGACCTGCGGCAGGCCTCTGCAGATTGGTAGTGGAGGTGTGTGCGGAGATCCGGGGAAGGCCCTGGAACCGTCGCTGGCGCCTCGGAGGCCCCGAAACGCTGGCGCCTCGGAGGCCATGAAACGCTGAAACCCTGTAAAAACACAAGGAACGCACCCTGGAACCGTCGCTGGCGCCCTGGAGGCCCTGGAACGCTGGCGCCTTGGAGGCCCTGGAACGCCGAAACCCCATAAAACCATAGGGAAAGCCTCCTGGAACCGTCGCTGGCGCCTCGGAGGCCCTGGAGCGCTGGCGCCTCGGAGGCCCTGGAACGCCGAAACCCTATGAAAACACAAGGAGAGTGAGCCCCGGAGCCCCCATGGAGGGCGCAGGCACACTCCTGGCGGGCTCGGAGGCCCTGGAAGGCCGAAACCCTGCAAAAACACACGGAAAGTGAGCCCCTGTGCCCCCATGGAGGGCGCAGGCACTCTCCTGGCGGCCTCGCCCCCGTAACCTGGGGATACATATATATATATATTATATATATATAATATATATATATATATGTACATATAAATATGTATATATATATATATATATATATATATATGTGGGGGGGGTGTTTCCCCCTTATATATACATATAGTAATAATAATAATAATGCGTTGTCTATTATTTTTAATTCACCCAAAAAAAAAACTCACTCGCGCGCGCGGGGCGGCCCCTGGGAGTCCCCATTTCGAAAAGTACCCTGGGCAGGCCCTCGGCAGGGTCCCGCCAGAGATGGTTTTGCTCCTGGGCGCCGCCCTCGGGGCCTCCCAGAGCACCAAGAAGAACCAAGAAACCCACAAGAAGCCATCGAGATGGTCTAAGAGAGCCCCGAGACGCTACAAGATCGAGACTAGACGCCCAAGATAGCCCCCAGACGGCCCACGAGGCATCCAAGACGCCCCAAGAGGCCTCCCAAAAGAGTCCCAAGAGGCAACGTTCATTGATTTTCCATTGGATTGTCACAGGATGTCCGCGTTTTCGCCTGTTCAGCTTCCCGACGCTCCAACGCGACCCGAGAGGCCCCCAAGACCGCTCCCAAACGGCCCACGGACCTCCAAGAGGGACCCAAAACAACCGAAGACGGCGCAAGAAACTTGCGAGACGGCTCCAAGAGAGGGCCCGGACGGGGGACCCGAGCGGCCATTTCCAGCACTTTGCCCGAAGAGTCCCCAAGGGGGGCCCATGAGGCCCCCAAGAGCCCCCTAGAAGCCCCCAAAGGCTCCGAAGAGGCCCCCAAAAGAACACAAAACAGTTTGAAAATACCGACCCCCGAGAGGCCTCCCACCCGAAAGCAAGATACACAGCATGCACCGAAAGACTCAAACCTTCAGACTGCCACCAAACCGAAAATCCACAGAGGACGTTCCCCACTGGCCCATGCTAAACACCTACATGCCTCAATCACATCAGAGGCCCGCAACAACCCCCGCCCAAGAGGCTGCTCAACAATAACTGCTTCAACTCGAACACTCCCCACGAGCCGCGCCAGAGAACAACCGCCGCTCAACAACAACACCACATTTACAATGCACACATGGGGAACCGAGAGCCGTCAATATGGGTCGGCGGAGTGAGCGAAGCGATTAAACAACCAGCGCGCAAGATTCCCAAACAGTGCTTTCCAAGGCAAGGTGGCTCCTGAATGTTCGCGCGTCCGCTGGCCGACGGAATGAGCGAAACAATCGAATAACCAGCGCGCAGTATTCCCAGACAGCGCTCTTTGTAAGGCAAGGCAACTTCTAAATGTTCGCGCGTCCTCCCGCTCCTGGTCGGCCTGAGCCGTCGCTATCGCGGTCGAGCTTTTCGTTATCGTCGTCATCGTCGTCGACGTCGTCGTCGTAGTCGTAGTCGTAGTCGTCCCCCTCATCCGCATCGCAAGCCTCCATGTCCGCTTCCTCCTCCTCCTGCTGCATCATCTACCTCCGCATCGCAAGCCTCCATGTCCGCTTCCTCCTCCGCCTCCTGCTGCTACTCTTCCTCCTCCCCCTCTTCCTCCTCCTCCGCATCCTCCTCCTTTTTCTGCTCCTGCTCCTGGTATTATCGTATTCCTCATCGTGGGCCTCCTCCTCCTCCTCCTCCTCTGCATAATGCTCTTCGTCCTCCCCCTCGTCCTTGCAGTCCTCCTCCCCCTCCTCCTTCTTCACCTCCTCATTCTCCTCCTCCTTCCTCCTCCTCTTGGCATTTCTCCTTCTCGCCCTTCCCTCCTCTTTCTCGTCCTCGCCGCCCTTAGCTTCGTCCTCCTCCTCCTCCTCCTCCTCCTCCTCCTCCTCCTCCTCCCTCGTCTCCGGTTCCTGTTTCATATGCAAGGGATGTCCTCGCACTTGTTAATTGCAGCACGGCAGAGGCAGTCCGCACGGGCGCTCAGAGCAGTCGGGAACGCTCGACTATTTCATTGTCCGATGTCTTCACTCTCTTGATGCCGCGAAAATGTCTCAGGCGAAACGCGCCGGGCGAAACCGCGCCGGGGAACCTTTCGCGTGGCATCTCGGAGCTCAGAGTTTCGAAAATGTATCAGGCGACGCGCCAAACCCCAGCCAACTCGGAAACGACAGCTGTAAGAATGTGTCAGGCGAAACGGCCCAGACCACCTTATTTCAATTGAGGATGTCTCTGCGAGGGGTCCTTCCGTCGGAACTAGCTTACACCGCAACTGCACCCTCAACTTTTCAGCTGGTTCGGGAAAAGCCTGATCGTCGGATATCTGGTGATGCGGAGGAGGACTGTTTGGTGAGCCTTCGTGGGAGCCTCTGTGGACCTCCGCGATACTGTCATCAACGCGATTGCGACCAGATTTCGTCCAAATTTCGACCACACTCTTCACCCTTTGGTTCACATGTTGTCCAAATGTCGTCCAAACGTCGCCCAAATGTCGATCAAGTTCGACGAAATCCGGACGAGACCTCCAAGACCGAAAGGAATCTTGGACCTCTCCGAGGCTCCCAATAAAGGACCACACAAGGACGATGACCCAGGTCTGCCCCCTTCACCAGAAGAGCCCAGAATCGAATCGACCAAGTCGGATCGGCGATCGACATGAATCGGATCGACGGGAATCGGCAGCCGAGCTGGGAAAACTTCACTCGGCGGGAATCGGCAGGCTAGTAGACCTCCATTGAGAGATCGGAATCCACATCGGAATCCGCAGTCGAATCGAATCTGAATCGGAAGACATCGAAATCGAATCGAATCGGAAGAATCGAAATGAGCCCTGGGGGGGGGGGGGGGGGGCGCGGGGGGGCGGGGCGCTCTTTTGCAGGGCCAGCTCGCCAGACGTCGAAGCGCCCAGGCGCCAAAGCGTCCAATCCCAGGCCCCAAGGGGCGGAGCCGCAGCTCCCTCGGAGAGAAGGGGGGGGCAGTGGGGAAGAGACGACGATGATGATGACGACGAAGACGACGACGATGACGACAACGGCAACGACAATGACGACGAGGACGACGACGACGACGACGACGACGTCGTCGTCAATGTTGTCGCCGTCATCGAGCATGGAGGAGGGAAGGCGGACGAGGGAGAGAACAGGGGGGGAGGGAACATCGAATCCGAATCCCAATCCAGCTCGTGGAGATCTGACCTGCTCCATCCGCCAGGGCACGTGGAACAGGGGAGGGATGATGACGAGGAGCAGGGGGAAGAGAAGCTGGGAATGACGACACGGAGGGAGGGGATGGGAGAGGCGGAGGAGGAGGCAGGAAGTCCAGCCTCAGGAGTTAGGGGGTCGGCCTCAAAGAATGGGCATTCTTCGTGTTACCCCTGCTGGGAACTATGGAAGCAAGAGGCCGTGACAATTCACGGGAGGGCGCAACTCCGGTACTGGGGTGGACGCTTCAGCCGCTTGAGCGCCGTCCCCGCACGCCCCGCCCGCGCGCGTCATTGCCGCAGCGGGGGAAGCCAAGGGTGAGACTCACGCGCTGGCTCCCCGGATATTTCTCATCACGCAAATCAGCATGACGGCCACAGTGTCTTCGATTGGGACTCCCGGCGGTTATTTCTGGGACGTCCAAGAAACGGTTATTTCTAGGACGTCCAAGAAAAGAGGGGGAGCGGCCAAGAGGTATGGGGGGCTCGTGACCCGAGGTGCATGCGGGGCCCAGGAAGGGCAAGGGGACGTGTTGAAGCAAGTAGAGCGAGTCATGGAAACTTCGGAGATATCATGGCCCCTGCCACGATACAATGATAACCGCACGCACGCACACACCCTTTGACTTCGCCCCCCTATTGGACTCCTGGGCGCCCGATATCTCGGCCCCAGGGCCACCTGGGATTGCTTGGGGAAGGGGTCGAGGAGGCAGGCTTCGAGGCAGACCCAGCCGTGGCGGCCAAGAGGCGCCTCGAGAACAAAAAAAAGGAAAAAAGGAAGACCACCTTGGCGCAGCTCGGGGCAGCCCAAGTGGGTCGTCGCCGAGGCCAGCCCCTCCGCCCCCAGTGAGGGGGACCTTCTAAAGCTGCAAAGCTTCGACCTGAAATCGGCGATACGTTTCCTATAGCTCGGCGATAATCTGTCGATCGATCGGAAAGAGCTCCCCGATAGCGAATCCACACCTTCCTGGGCGGAGTTATCGGGCCCCCATCCGGCGATTGGGGGCCGATGCGCATCCCTAGCGCGGCCCCCGGTCCAAGCCAACAACGGGCAACCTGCAATTCCCAAGCGCGGTGCTTGACAGCCCGCAGGCGCTCATAGCCTCTCTTGATTTTGGGGTTGCGAAACCCATAGCGGTCCTGGCCCCGTCGTTTCGGCGAGGGGGGAACATGCATTTCCGCAACCTTAACGACAGCGAGCCGATGCCCTTAGACCCCAGCGGGCCGCTGATATGGGTATACGTATATTGGTTTGTTTGTTTAAAGC